ACAGCCCCACTCTGGAGCAAACATCAATTTTCCTCTGTCCTCTTAGCCAGCCAGCTTTCACAGACCAGCTTTATTGAAAGCTGGCTGTAGCCTCCTGGGTCCCACTGACGTCCCACCAAGAACGCTAGGCTGGGAGCAGCTGGGTGTACCTCAGCTTTGTACCTTTTAGGAGCTGCTCCTACTCTCTTCTCTGTTCTGTTACCAATCATTTTACCTCAACCTCAGGGCCTTGAAGGAACACGTCCTCCGAGGGCCCCACACCACTACTCTGTCACAGTGGTGTATAAACAGTCTCATTTGCTTCCCCATATGGTAAAACACTGCCACAAATAGACCAAAAGCACTGTTTCAATGTATAGTTTGTCGAACCTGTCATTCTAAGCAGCGCGATAAGACACCTTTTCTTTAAATGCTTACATTTTCACTCACATGTGCATGATCATACATTTTGCTTTCAGATGGTCTCCCTGCTCTTCAAAACCAGAAATAAGGTAGGAAAGGCATCTTCCCCAAAGAGATAAGACGAACTCTGTCACATATTCCACCATCTTGTCTCCTGTTTCCATAGCAGCGCTGCCTTCCGCAGCACTCAATGAGGCTCTCTCTTGCCTCTAGCTTCCATTCCTGTGTTCTTCTGCCTTCTGGCTAATAGTTTCACCAGTAAGCGGATGGTTCATTCTGTGGCTTTCAACCTCTCTCTGGTCCTAATTGCCTGAGGGATTGGAAGTGGCCACTTATGTAGCTCATTACAGCAAGGCTTCCTATGGCGTCTCGTGGAGGGGAAGAGGTAGGGAGAGACTGTACATTCAGGAGACCATATCAAGTTCTAGTAAAGAGGTTTTGTTTTAGTTTTTCAATTGGATTCTTTCCCTAAATTTGATATGATCCATCTCTACTACAAAGTATAAATTATACTCAATGTCTTGGCTAAAGAGAAACCCGTGTTTGTACTCTAACCCATGACTGATGAAGTAGTTTTCAATTTTTTCTTCTTTAAAGAATTATTATGGAAACATTCAGTACTACACAAAAGTAGGGAAATAGTACAAGCAACCCTGTATCTACCATTAAACAGTATAGACATGTACTTTTAAATATGGCAGTTAATAGTTTCAAAAGTCATAATTTTTATCACTTCTAGTCAAATGCAGACTCTGAGGAAATTACAAACATAAACTTAGCTAGAGAAAAACGATTCAAAGCAACCACTTGATGCAAAGTTCGAACTACAGACAGAAGCTATCATGGGCGAAAAGCAGTCTTTATCTTTCTGAGTTAATGTATACCATGGGTGGCTTAAAGTGATCCTTCCAAGTAAAGAGTGCTGCTGACAGAACCATGAATTTTGGCACGCTCCAAGCTAAACTATTAACTCAGAAGGAGAAAAACAAGGGATCATGTGCAACTCTGGCATCTCAAGGTCATCTAAGGTCATCGCTGACTAGGTTCAATTCTCAATGGTTTGGTCATTTGAAATAAGCTTTTTTACGTCAAATGGAGCCATGAGGTGGTAGTTTAATTACAGAAGAGAAAACAGATATCACTAAAAGGACAATTTTTCCCCCACACTATTTCCATTTGCTCTGTCATGGACTAACAAACTAGACTGATTCAGAGAAATTCGCAGGAATGGCCTTTTGAAATTCCTATGGAACGAGGTGATATAAATAGAAAGACATCTTTATCGTAGAAATGCAATTTTTGCTTTGCCTTGAAATATTAGGATTTGGTTTTAACTTGTATATTAAACAATCATTGTTTTAGGAAATATTATATAAGATAATCAGAACCAATTTTTAAACACTTTAAGACTTATTTATTTAATTGTATTGCATGAGTGTTTTGTCTGCATATACATCACATGTGTGCCTTGTGTTCACAGAGGTTAAAAAAAAGTGTCATGCCCCATGGAATTGGAGTTATAGATGGTTCTGAGCCACCAGATGAGTGCTGGGAACTGAACCCTAGTCTTCTGTATGAGCAGTGAGTGCTCTTAAATGTTGAGTCATTTCTCCAGCTTCTCCTTGATATTTTTAAAGTTTGGTTCTGATTTAGGGCTGGTGCACCCATATATTGGCTTAAAACTGTATGTACTACCAGTCCCAAGGGATCCAATGCCCTCTTCTGGCCTCCAGAGGTACCAGGCACATATACAGTGCACACACATGCATGTAGATGAAGCGTACATACAAAAAATAAAATTATATATGATATCAAATAAAGCTTAGGATAGAGCAATTTTGTTTACTACGTATGAGACATGGGAGGCCACTGGGGATAGACAAAAGAACAGTCTGACCACTACAGATCACTACTTTTTGAACCAAGGATGGCTTTATTTATTTATTTTTTGGTTTTTCGAGACAGGGTTTCTCTGTGGTTTTGGAGCCTGTCCTGGAACTAGCTCTTGTAGACCAGGCTGGTCTCGAACAATCAGAGATCCGCCTGCCTCTGCCTCCCAAGTGCTGGGACTAAAGGCGTGCTCCACCACCGCCCGGCTAAGGATGGTTTTATTATTCACAAGGTACTACAAGCAAGGACTACATACAACAGCAGGCAGGTTACATGCCTACATAATGGTACTCAACTAAGAGGACAAAATTCCTGGCTGGAATGTCTTTTTCAACTAACTACCTTGGTGAGGTTGCAGCGGTCAGCAAGGGCAAGGAAAGGGGCACTTTCTCGTTGTTCCACTGGAGTGCACATATCTCTGCAATTTGCCTGCCCTTAGGTGGCCTATACTTCTGATTACCACAAAGGCATTATATGAGCTAACGTTGATTTTGCAAATTAATACAGGGTTCATGGAGCCAATGAATATCCTGTGAGGGCTGAGACCTTAAATACTTTCTGTCTGGCCTTGGGCCTTGGAACCAAATAAAATTAAGCTATCTTTCTCTTCGAGTTGAAATCATGCAAAGATAATGGTGCAGCTGTAAGTTCTAAAGAAAGGTTCTCATTTTCTGAGAACCGACTCTAGGTGAGGAATCTACTTGAGGCTCTATCCCACTAAAATGTTAAGGGTGCAGGGGAATGGTCACATTGAGGGGGTAACACAGTCTAAGACGAAAAAGCCTGGGCTTTGAAGCCAGGAACAAGTCTGGTCTTGCTCAGCAATTTACTGGTTGAGCAACTTGAGGTGACTGTTTAACTTCTCCAGGCTTCCGAGAGGATTTGCTAAGATAACAGCTGGAAAGAGCTAAGTCCTGTGCTACCTGGAATACAGAAAACATTGTTTCTAGGCCATTTTTTTTTGCTACAACTCTGATTCTAAAACTAGTTCACATTATTCATGGTCTTGCTCTTGCAACCCTACCCAGGAAAGCACAAGGACAGACCTATGAGAAAACCGCAACAGCAGCCACAAATACAGGGTCCAGCAGCAGGATATCCCTTGTTAAAGTACCTCAGCTACCTTACTTCCCTTTTCTGACCCTGTCAACATGATGGAACACCCCAGCTCTAATCCTGAGAAGAGCAGGGGAAAAAATCACCGTTGGAGGACAGCTGTCAAGAGGCATGTACTATAGACACTAGGCCCTTTTCCATCCCTTCTGTCATCTACACCAGCACTGTGCGGCAGAGCATGCTGTGACGGTGGAAAAGGTCTACATTCCATTTCACATGACAGCTAGTAACACTATGTAGCCACCTTTGGAATACAGTCAGAGTAACCAACTGAACCGATCTTTTTTGTGGTCTAATGAATTGTGACTTTAATAGTCACATACGCTACTTGGATACTGTATTATACAAGGTGGCTCTAAGATCACGAAATCAAAATGTTTGTTTCCATTAATAGGTGGTATGACACTAAAACTTATAAAATCTAGAACTTGTTTTTTTTTAATCACTTAAATTTGACTAACTTTGAAGTCTGAAACACTTCTGGTCTTGAATACACTTGTTATTCTACAAAGCACCCCAATGTGGTGTGTCATAATACTTGATCAGCCTCACTCAATGTCAGATTCCTTCAACTGGTTCTAAAAAGTGCTTGGATGAGCCAAAATCCTACCATTGGAGGGCTGAGAGGAGGGGGCCCAGAGAGTGCGTATCTGGGGTCAGATCAAACCTGGCCAAAACATAAGAGAGATACTTCTCTACATTTTCTCTTGGGTCAAAAAGTATCAATGTCTCGCAAATAAGAAAGAAGGAAAATCACTTAAATAGAAACTAAACCAGAGAACTAGAAAGCTTAACTGAATATTAGAATTACAAATGCAGGAATTAGTCAGATCTTATCACCTGTAAATTATATGATGAATGAAAGCAACTGGACCCCAGAACTCACTCTCATCACTATAAAAAGATGTTAAGTTTCACCTAAGTTATAAGCTTACTATTGGGACTTCTGTGTATAGGGAAATACAGTGGGTGACCCACTGTATTGGGTTTTTCAAATTTCTGTTTTACTCACCACCCTCAGGCCTTTATTATATATATATAAAATATTATGACACACGCTAAAATGGGTAACTACAGAACAGAAAGAACATTGAGAAATAAGCAATAGCAAGGAGACTACTCCTAGACTTTTGTGTTATATTATAGAAGGGAGAGGAGGAAAGATATGAAAATCATCAAGCTATTCATTTCCACATACTTAGTTTGCTTTTCTACTATCTTCTTAATGGTTCAGTCAACATAGTCAAAGCAGAGAACAATCTGTAATGCAAAGATTGCTTCAGACTCTGAAAGATAAACACTTATGGTGACACTTTTACATTCCTTAATCTGCAAAACAAGACTGATACTATGCAGGGTATGTCCAAACAGAGGTCCTTTTGATTCTGCTTTGCATTCTATGGCGCCCTCTAGTGGTGTACAGATGTAAGGGATGCATTTTTGCCCTACAAAGCCGTGGTTCTTAAATTTTAGAGAGCCTTGGATTCAGTGGAACAACTTGTAGTGGCATGGATTTCCAAACTCCATCCAGAGAATCTTTGGTTTATGAGATTTGAGGTTGGGCCTACGAGTCTAATTTTCTGACCACTTACCGGGTGATACTGATGCTTCCGGTCGGCCTGGGAAATATAGCTGCAGGCTGCTGTAAAAACCTTTCACCATTGTGGCTGGAGAGAGGGCTCAGCAAGGAGGTCCACTCGCTGCTCTTCCGGAAGACCCGAGTTAGGTTCCCATCACGCATGCCAGGTGTCTCAGAACAGTCTGCAATTCCAGCTCCAGGGGATCCAAAGCCTCTGACCTCTGAACTCATGTCACATACCCATATGTAGATATATACACCTATACATAATTAAAAACAATGAAATTAAAATCCTAAAAAAACAACCTTTACCGGCATGTGCACAAGTACATATCATTGATAAGTGAAGCTGATATTTGCTGGTTGAAAATGGTATACAATTTTGTTAAGAAAAAAGCATTGACTTCAACATCTACTATACAGAAAATATTTAAAAATTGAGGGTCTGGCTGGGGAGATGTCTCAGGGGGTAAAGTGTGTCTGTTGCTCAAGCAAGAGGACCTCAGTTCAATTCCCTAGCACCTACATAAAAGCTAACATGGGGCACATATAGTGTTTTAAGGGGACTACTGGTAGAGACAGGCAGATCCCAGGAGTTCATCGACAAGCCAGTATAGCCCATGTAGAACAGCCTAAGTTCACTGAGAGACCCTGCCTCTTAAAATATAAGGTGGACAGAAACAGAGGAAGAGACCTAAAATGAAGATTACCTTTAGCCCCAACATGCATATGCACAAACACTCCTACACACATGTGCATACACACAGAAAGCAAAAGAAAAAAGAACAAAAAACAAAAAAAAACCCCACAGGGCTACCTCCTCAGTTGCCCTGAAACATAGCACAATTAAGTGTGAAACATGTTTCACTATCTACGATCTGATTTTTAAAGACACAACCAAGTTATGCAAAATGCAATGAGCATAGGAAAAAAAAACGCCTTTTAGACACACAAAAAGAGCTTCGTCAGGAAGTCCACTACACCCAAGGCTATACCTGATAACCAGAACCCAGTGACATCACTTTCAAGATAACCAGACACAGGACTAGAATCCTCTGACGCCCTCTGAGCAGTCTATAAAAAGAGACCACGAGCACTGTTCTTCCTCTGTGCACCTGGAGACGGCACCTTGATTTAGCCTTCGGCTGGAGCGTCTCCCTGGGATCCCGTCCCTCTAATCAGAGACTTCTGTTAGAGACTGGACCTGATCTTCGAAGATACACCGCACAGGTGAGCAACCTTGGGGAGAAAGGCTTAAGACTATAATTAGGAACTTAAAGAGTGTGAACTTTGTGTGATGGCCCTCCGCATAAGAAAATAGAACTTTCTTAAGCCGACTAAGCATACCTATCTTACTGTCAGCAACACGGAGACATCGCATTAAATTAGGGAGCAAACACGCGTATCTGCTAAAAATTTCAAGAGGAAAGGACAATAATTTTCAATACGGAGGTCTAACTTTACCTCTGGGTTATCTTTACAGACTGAATATAGTCGTCTGCAATTACCACTGGGAGGAACAGTCAGTATTTGAAAATGAAGTGGGCAAAAACCCAAAAAGGATATTCTTTCATTAGGCTTTTTTTTAAATATAGAGACAGGATCTCAACATATAATCTAAACTGGCTTTCAACTTGGGGTCCTTCTACCTCCTGAGGGTTGTTATTACAGATGCACCACCAAAGCCCACAGAGGACTTTAGCACCAGTGTTTAGGCTCCTATCAACTCTGAGTTAAAAAAAAATACAAGGGAGAAGGAAAATCTGGAAGAACCGATGACTTTTTTCTTTGTAAGGAAAGGAAATAACAAAAATATCTGGATATATAATTCCCTGCCTAGTGATTTCATTCTTCTTTGGGGATTTATGATATATGTGAAACCAGAGGTTATTGAATTCATCAAATAAGAAGTGGGTAGGGCAAAAAGAAATAAATCTCACCATCCCCGGGAACCAAACAGCAAATCCTTTGCTGGAATTTGGTGACATCTAGTGGCAGATTCAAGAGATATAAACCTCACCCAGTGAACTTTCTGGAAAACTGACCGAAAGCCTATTTGCCTGAGGATCACGATGCTTGGAGACTAGGACAAAAGGTAGGTGAAGCTTAGAGCCCGCAAAAATTTGGAGGTGGCTCTATCAGAGGGGAATTTAATTCCGTATGTTCGCTTTGCAAATTATTTCTGCTGATTATGCAGTAAAATGCGTGAGCTGCAAAGGGGAGGTCTCAGTGATGGCGAGAAGGGGAGTATACTTGAAAATTTTAAAGACGCGCCGTTTTAAGTAGCTAATATAGTGTTGTATCTTAACCAGAGGGGTTCATTTTGGTGAACTAAAACGTGGGAATAAAGGGCATCTATATGGTCTAAAATTAAATCAGACTGGGTGGAATGGCGCATGCTTTTAATCCCAGGTACTCGAGAGGAAGAAAAAGAGACTGGTGGGTCTCGAATTTCAGGCCAGCCAAGACCCATAGTGAGACCGGGTCTCAAGAAAAAAAAAAGGGAGGGGGAGGGGAGTAAATAACTTAAATGAAATCGCAGGCCTTTTCTAACAAAAGCCCTTTACTTATGTTACTAGTACTTAGTCTTAATTATCTTCCTTTCCATTAATGCAGTTTGCCAATATAAAAAAGCAGAAATCCAATATAAAGCATCTCACCTACAACACACAATCGGGCCCCTCCCGCCACCGCACGGCGTGCATGCCTGCGCACACCCACCACCTCCGGCGCCACGAGGGCTGGTAGGCGCCCACACCCACAGTCCACGGCCACGCGAGCGTGCCCGTGCACCTACACCCAGGTTCTCATGCCATCCGCTTGTGGCACTCACCACCCTCACACACACATACACACACACACATCAAAACCTTCATTATTCCTTTTTTTTCTCCTGTTCCGAGAGTTGCGCAACAGGCTCGGGGGCGTGGCCCTCGCTTTGACCTCGCTCTTCCCACTCGCGGGAACCTTAGCTCATTTCCGCCTATCCTATTTCCGCAAGCCACGTAGACACTTCCTTTCCCAGTGGTGCCTGGGCGGGGGAGGGGAACGGACACACAAACCCATAATGCCTCCCTGCAGGAGAAAAGGAGAGAGCTAGGGAAAGGAGGTGGGGAAAAAAAAAACCCACGGTCAGGGGAACTCTGGGTCGTGAAAACAGGCCACGTGAACACGCTGCCCTATAGACTTCTGACCCAACAGCTGCAGCGCATTTGGAGGGCGGGCTAAGAGCCTAAAAGGGAGACTGTCATTGGCTGGAATCGGCACTGAAGAAGGACGGTAATTGGTTTGATTTAGGCCCGAACCATGAAGAAGCAGGTTGCTAGCACCCGCCTTTACTGCGGCGGAGCATCACTGCTGACATGGGGTGGCAGGCCAATCATTTGGTTATGGAACATTCTAAACCGGAGACAAGACGACTGTGATTGGCTGAAAGGCTAAGCCCGCCCCCCAGGGTGCCCTGTCTGCCTATGGATATCAGTTGCCAGAGAAACCTGGCTTTACTATGGCAGTTGGAGCAGCAGCGGTGAACACACGTCAGCTGCTGGAAAGAACTGGATTCTCGCTTCAGGTTTCGGGGTGGGGGTGGGGAGGAAGGGTCGATGATTTCCTCTTTTCTCCGCGTCTTTGGACAGGATTAGCTAGCGGCTTCACATTCAGGCAAAGCTGGATTCGTATTCCTGCTCGCCAACGCCCAACTCGGGCAAGGCTCCTGTGTCTCGGTTTCCATGTTTGTGAAACGGCGATAATAGTATCCATCTCAGCAGTGCACTCAAATGTGCACAGCAAAATAGTGCATGTTCGGCATTAATTGTGAAGCCTGTCTCTCGAAAGATATTAGCAGTTGTTATTAAAGATATTTGCTCAGCCGAAGAAAATTATAAATTACGCAGATTCGCTATCATTTTCGTCGCATCCTTTTTTTTTTAGAAGAAATTATTTTATGAATAAAATTTGCTAGCCGAGAATCGCTTCAAAATAGCTGGGGGTTGGAATTTTCCCACATTAAACCAAAAAAAAAAAGAGAGAGAGAGAGAGAGCGCGCGCGAGCGAGCGGCGGGAGAGAAAGGTAGGGGAAGGAGAATGAGAACAAGCTAGGTATGAAGCACATGCGATGAGTAGGCCTTGTTGGAAACCTGATCGAGCACGCCAATTGTAAAATTTTCTTTAAGACTCATCGGGAATTTTTAAATGCGGAATTAATATTCTTTAATGAAATCGGGTGTCAGATTTTTTTTAGACGTTTCTGGTAGCGGTGTGGTTATGTTTTCAGATTGCTTTATTTTGTGGAAATCTATGTATATTTGTATATATTTGCGTAAAGATTAAATAATGTCTGAAAATGGCTTCAGAATACGTGGATGACTAGGATTTGCTTCAGAATAATTTCAGCGGTGGAGAGAGATGGGAGGGGTATAACTGGGACCTTCGATTAATAATCGTTTTTAAGCTGAGGGGTGGGCAGATGGGGTTTCCTGTATTTGTCTTTTCCCCCTGGTATATATTTGAATTTTTTCATAATTCTTAAGTCATTTTTTCGGTAGCTTAAAAAACGGGGGGGGGCAGTGGGTGGGGTTACAGATGAAACAAGATGGCCTTCAGTTGGTAATTGTTGAAGCTGGATGATGGATTCGCATCCATTTGTAATGGTGTTCCGTTACAGTTTTATTTATTTCACATTATCCTTAAGAGAAATTATTAATTTTTTTTCAAAAATTGATAAAGAAACAATAAAGTACATTTGAAAATATAACCACAGGAAAATAAAAATTGCGCATTTATCAGCTTTGATGTCCTTTGTGTGAGATAAAATTGCAGTGACGGATGGAAAAGAAAATCACCGTCTCACATCTTTTCTGTCCTTTTCCATCTTTTTGTTTGACCTTCTAGGTCATCATCAGAAAAGCTAAGTTTGCTATACAATAAGGATCAGGAGATCTGACCCTGGTTGCAGAACCATTCCTGTTTGCAGAATACAGGGTAAGTGCTTTCCTTCTGGCCTCAGTTCACAAACAAGATCATATCACATAACCTTCCTAAATGGCTAGGAATATTTTGAAGATTAATAAGCTCCCATCTGAGAAAGTGCTCTAAATTCTGAAAGGGTGAGGATACACATTAGATATGGGCCATGTAATCTTCATCTCAAAAAAAAATTGAAAATTAGTGCTACGTAATGGTTTCACAGATTCAAATAATGGAATATTTTTTCTCAAGAGCAAATGAGGGATTGATGGATTTGATTACCGGCGGTGCCACTTACTGTGTAATTGTGAACAAGAAACTTCCTTTGTTCCAGAATGTCCTCATACAAGTATTTGATGGAATAATACTTCTAGCTTTAGTAGTCATGAAACATTTTATACACACACACAAGAACACATTTTTGTGAAATCATGAATATAATTTTCATGGAATTTTTTTAATTAATATTTTTTGTTTCTCTCATTTTCCAGAAGCAGCAATTTACTACTAGAGCTGAATTCTGAAATTAAGACTTCTGGCTTTATCTGATCAAAGTTTTAAGTATAATTACTTTTGAGGAAATTTCCAGAACTATAATTTTAGCTACCATCAGCTAACCATTTTCTTTAATATCATTTTCCTCTTTTGTTCAGACTGAAAATGATCTGTTGGGTTGGGAATGAGTACTTCCCTAGCATACATGAAGTTCCACGTTTGATTCCCCAGCTGTGCACAAGCCAACTGTGGGAGCACATGCCTGCAATCAAATATTTGGGGGGGGTGGAGGCAGGAATTTCAGAGGCTCAGAGTTACCCTCAGCTTTATAGTGGGTTTGAGTTTAACCTGGAGCACTTGAGATGAGACCCTTTCTAAAAAAAATGGTTTTAAGCATAAGAAATGTTTCATAATGCAAATGAGATTTATATATGCCTGATTTTACACAGAGACCAAGAGATGGGAAAAATGGTGTAAACGATGTGGTCCCCACATGTACAGTTAACTAAAGGTTTCTGCCAGTGAATTGTCGGGATTGATAACTGCATTTGGAGTCGGATTGCATGAAGCAGTGAAAGGAAGGGGTGTGTCCCAGTCTATTCACAGCAACATTTTTAAAGGAGTTATATAATTCTCTTAATTTTTCTCCTTTGTAAAAGCTAGGTTTCTGCGGAGAGCGCTTCCCTGGTAGAAGAGCAATTTGGAGAATGATTGGGGGCTGAAAGTGGATCAATAGGGACTGACAAAGCAAGGGCCAGAGAGCTCGGAAATAGGGAAACCTCACAGAGGAAAAGGCTCTTGACTTGGGCCTTTGGGAACCATCTGAGTAGTGTGCCTATGAAGCACACAGTGTGCAGTGGTAATGAAATGAAAATATATGTAAAATCCATGGATGAGCACATCACAAAGTCATGAATAATGTGTATGGCTCAGGGTTTTGGGGTGTGTGTGTGTTTTTTTTTTCTCACTAACCCTTCTCTCTACAGTCAATTACCAGCTTTCTTCATTTCCTTCTAGATTACCTAATTACAATCTAAAGTGTACAGATGTGCACAAGAATATTTTATGGTTTTTATTAAGTACAGACTATGGTTTCAATATAGATACTGTTAATTACCTATGTTTGTTTAACAAATAGTCGTTGAGTGTCTTTTTTTTCCATTCATAGATCTCGTGTCTAACTTCTTTCATGGTATTTCTTTCACAGTGACATTTCTTTATCTGACATGATATTCCACATTACAAATGTATCACCTTTCCTCAAATCACTGTAAGGTTATCCCCAGTATTTTGCTGCTAAAATAATAACACATAAACTACCTTTTATATCCATTTACAGATAATATTCTAGAGCAACATTTATGCCCTTAAACCATAATAATTGAACCATTATACTGTTACGAGCACAACCAGAATTATCACTGATACGGCCTACAAATGGGTGTGGCAGCTTGGGCCTGTAATTTCAGTGGCTGGAAAGCAAAAGCAGGAGGTTTGATGCAAATTTCAGGCTAGCCTGGGCTTGGGAAGAGAGCCCCTTAAAAGTCAAGTCACTTAAACTTATGAATACCTATATTTATAGAATAGCATTTCTCATTGAGGAAAGAATGGGCTCATCAGTAATGAACATTGAGAAAATACTTCTGTAAATTTGGGAGAACCTAAAAACATACAAAGAAATAATAGAGGCACTAATTTACAAAATTTGTTTAGCATCATTTCCCCTGAGCATAACAAAGCCAAAGGTTGCAAAGGAAAAGCCAGCTGGGATCTTAACAAAAAAACTGGTGGTATGATCAATGTGAAACAAGAAGCACCCTAGAAGAAAAGGAAATAAAAATGCTCATGTGAGAAAAAGAGGTCTGACCAGTGAAATAAGAAAAGATGGCTTGAGATCATGCATTTCAAATGAAAAAGCAAATAATGTTCGCAGCTTGGGATCTAGTTGCCTTAGCAGTTGAGTGCTTGCCTAAGATGTGGGAGGCCCTGAATTAAAGGTGTTAAGGCTCGGGAATATAACTCAGCAGTAGAAGACTTGCTTTACATGCAGGGCAAAAATAAAAAGATTTTCTAGTGTTTACCAGAGGATGTAGTGTGTAACTGGTCATGTTTACTCAGTTAGGTTTGTAAATTCATAGTTTTTTTAAGGGAAAACAATTTAGCACCAGGTAAAACACCTTAGATATGTTGCACCTTGGTCCACTAAGTAAAGCAGCTTGGAGTGTTAGAAGAAATATAAGAAAAAATGTCTGAACATAGCCTAAGGTGCGTATTATAACCTTAACATGGGGACATAATTTTCTTTAAAAGATTTTTTTTTAGAGGATGAGATCCAAGATTAGATAACATGTGCTTACCTCTACTTCAATACACAAATAGGGGCAAACAAAATAATAGATTGTTTGGATTATTCTAGAGCTAGTATGCAGGGATTTAGTGGGGAAGTGGTG